CCACACCTGCTCACTCATTGTCCCTTCTATCCACCCTTGCCCCACTTCCTGTTTGCATGTAGAAGCTCGCTTCCTTTTTCTGTTTAGGAACCTCTTTACGGACTTTCTTCTGCTAAAGGCCTGTTTATCATTCACTGTCATACTCAACCCTTGCTCCCTCTTTCACCCACTCATTCTCCACTCTCCATCCCTCACACTTGCTGTCTCTCAACCTATCCTCTTCTTGTGCACTCACTTTCCACCTGTTACTGCATCACCTTTTGGTATCTGTGAAATGGATAAGGAATGATGGGCAAGTCCCCAAAAATACATCTGAAATAATTTAGATCCAAGCGTCTTAAGATTTTGGAACTGAAAGAAATCCATGTTCGTAAAAAGGTAGCATCAATGAAATTATAGGGACTGAGAGTGGAGAAATCGCCCAATGACCTTCACCCTGAAATTTTGAAAGAGATGGCCATGTAGATGTGTCAGTGAGTGCTGCTCCCTTACCAAAGGAAGGATATACAGGGAATAAGCGCAGTGTTGGTTCAACAGACTGATTTCTGGAATGGTAGGACTGTCGCTTGAGGAGACTGGATCTATAATCTCTGAAATTTACAAAATTGTTAAGAGATAGTGAGTGCAGAAATATTGCTGCCACTGGTTGTGGGGTCTGGGCCAGGGAACACAGTTTTCAAATAAAAAGCATGCTATCTAAGACTGAGAGGAGGAGGAAGACCATTTTTCACTCAAAGGGTGATAAATCTTTGGACTGAAAACCGCAAATGCTAGAGATTACAGTGGGTCAGATAGCATCCATGGAGAGAGAGCAAGCTAACGTTTCAAGTCTAGATGACTTCAGAGCTAAAGTATAAAGAGTTTGATTCTGTACTCCAAAGGGCCATGGAAACAGTACTAGGTTCAAGACTAACAAATTTTCTAGCTAGTAATGACATGAAGGGATATGATTGGTAGATAATCAGCCATGTTCTGGAATGGTATAGCAGACTTGGACATTGAAAAGCCTACTGTACCAGATTTCTATGGTTGAACTTTCTAATTGCAAATCTCCATGCTGTGTGAAAAATGAGACACCTTGAGAAAAAGGCTGATGTGCTGAGTCAAATGCATACAAATGAATAAGAGAAATAGGAAGAATTGGCACATTTACCGCCAGCTAGAGGAGGATGCTTACTGTTCTTTTTTAAAACTAGATTTATGGGCTTAAAAGCAGTGCAACTGTAACTGGTGTAGTTGTGCTGAGGTCCACAGCTTATTTTATTTGGGAGTTCGTGGTGCTGCTAAATTGGTTGTGTTTTTATGTGGCCTCTGAGACCTGATACAAACGTAGGCCTCATTTCAGACTCCAAACTTGTTTACTAATCGTGCTGTGCCAAACTCCAGCTGATATTTCCAGAAATTGAGGCACCTTTATCTTTAAAGACTAAAACTAAAACTAAAACATTTTCTTTTTAAAGTTTAAGCAACGTTTAAGGTAGTAGGGTGTTACTAAGAGGCTTGTATCCCTTGGAATATGTCAATCATGTAGTAAAGGGAAAAAAAACTTTTGATTTGCAATATACAATTTTTTGCTAGTCTTTCTGGATTGTTCAGATTTTTAGGCCTAAACCAGTATATATGTCATCTGTAGCTTCTCTCAGATTAAATGGTTTCAAGATACAAAGCAACAAGTTAAACATTAATTGGAACTTAACCAATAATTGTTTGAAAGTCAGTGGTTGCTGACTCTAAACGATCATGGATTTGCCCTTTAGAATGATCAATTGCTTATGAAATAGAATGTTCCACTTCAGTGCTGTGTCTTTATCTGAATTTGTAAATGATTTTTCAGCAGTGCAGTATCAACAAAACAATTCTGTTTTATTTATATTCTGTTCTTTAAATGAACCTCACTCTCTTCAAAAGTAGCCCTTTGTATTTACAAATAAAATGGGAATAACGGAGTCTCCCAGGAGAGATGCAGAATGGGCAGTTGAATCAATATAGTCCGTTTTACATTATCATTCAAGTCAATTTAATTCTATCAAGTTCTATTTTATGTATGACAATGAGAAATTATTGAAGTATTTCTCTGCTTTTTATATTTCAATAATACATTGTAGTATTTGACATGAGGCTTTTTAAATTGCAACTAATAATCAATTTTTTTTAACTGATCACAAGATAAAGACAGGAGAGGTCATTCAGCCAATTTTTAGCTAAACCATCAACTTTTTTTAAAACGTGCTTACAGTCTCCCCAAACTTGACTGCCTCCAGCAGTTTTATCTTCACAGCTCTCTCCAAAGTATATTCTAATTGTCAATCACTCATCTCGTGGAAAAATCTTTTACTGTCAATCCAAGCTTTCTGTAGTTATTTTGTTTTTTTTTTCCCTCTCATGACAAACTTTGAAGGTGTGTTCCTACTTTTTTTTTAATACTGTATTACATGATATGTATGTCTGCAGGGAGTCTCTCACTACACTGCAAGTGCCAAGAGCCATAGTTTTATTAATAATGCATCTTATTTCAACTTAATGACAATCATGAAGAAGTTTTGGTTTCTACCACCTTTTTTTGATAAGTACTTGAACAATAGCCTGACCAAAATTGAAATGAAAAGCTTCTGTCTTCATCCCTCCCTCAAGCCTTGAAATAACCTTGCCTAGAGCTTTGCTGGAAACAAGACCCTGAAGCAAACTCATCGAAGAAAATATGCACAGGCCCTTCTTACCACAATTTGGCTAAGTCAGCATCCTTTCAATCTCTGGTGGAGAAGATGTAGGTGTTAAGCGGACTTTTTAGTGAAGAGTTGGGCCCAGGATATGCATAATATCTGAGTCTCAAATGCTTGGATTTTTTTAAAAGCATATGTAAAGGGCTACACATTTAAAAATAACACATTGTTGGGGAAACCAAGTGTGTTTCCAGAAACTGACCGACACACCTCGGCAACTGGCAACGTGAGTTGGCACTTGCAGTTTGTCAGAGAAGCAGGCATGTAAGTGGGTGCCTGGCACTGGTTTGGTACTAACTTTGGTGACATCAATGGTCATTCACCTAGCATTTTTTTTTTCAAGCATAAGTAGTTGGTAGTTTGGCACACTCTATAGTACAAGTGTATATCACTTTTTTAAAATTTCAATGTACAGTATTTTAAACTTGTTCCCAATCTTCTGCTCAATTACAGATTTGACTTGACTCCTGTTGTTTGCTAATGGTTGCTGCTTTTCTCAGTTTTCAGAATGGTTCAGACATTTTTACACTAGAATTGCAGTGTGTATTAAAGTTTTCTTTCGCACTGCATCATCTAGCCCAGATTCTACTCTACCCATCCCTACTATTTCTTCTGTATAGGGTATTTGATTTACAAACTGTTTTCAAACAAAATACATGTCATTTTTAAAAAAAAAAATACATGTGCAATGACTTTTCTCTAGCCACTTTTTTTAAACCTTTTATGCTATATTGTGGCATTTGCTCACGTAATTAAGTATTGCAATACATCCTGAAGCTTTTTAAAGCTATGTCATGCAACTATTGTACTAATGAGAATCGGTTGTTGGTTCCCAATGTGGAAACCTCGCCTAAAATATTTGGTATGTCTCATTGGGGATGCCAGCACATGTGCACTCAAAGCTATGCATTAAAGCCATAGTCAACTGGCATCTTTTAAGTGCTGCTAGAATCCTGAGGAGCACTTTGGATGCATATTTAGGATGGATGCTATGGAGAGGAAATGATTAACTGTAGTGTGGTCCTCTTTCCAATGTATCTTCCCTTTTTTATTTGGGTCTTTTGATTTCAGAAGCTCAACCACTAATTTGAACCAATAACCCAAATTAAGAACTCAGCTTTTCAAATCACCTTGTTCCAGATGCACATTATGACACATGCCTTGGGATAGGTAGGACTTGAACCCAGACCGTCTAGTCCAGAAGAGTGTGCCACAAGATGCTTTTTGTTTTGGGCCTTTACTGAACTTTATATGGCCGAACAGAGGAAGAAGTTATTGTACAGTTGGGTTAGCCGAAGAGTAATGGTGTTGGAGTTCCCCATTGGCAGCTGTTGTGCAACATATTACCTCCTTTTCACTGAGGCATTTCGACTGTACTTGATATGTCACTGAATTGATCCCAAATTGTGGTGTGGGGTCAACCTGTTTGAAAATGGATGTGGCAAGTCTTTTGGGAGCAAAATGAACGCATTGTTATTGATCAAAATATAACAAAGCGGAAGAGAAAAATACAAAGAATTCTACTATAGTCAAATTGAAATACAATGAGGTATTTACAAGTATTCTGGAAATAAATGCTGTCATTCATTATACACAATGTATAGCCTTCTAAGTACTCCCTTTTTACTGCTGTAAAAATGGGATATAGATTTCTGTGTAACAATCAACTCGATGTTATGACTGACATCTCCAAAGACCAACTGCCTCAATCACTCTTTTTGTGCTGCTTCACATTTTGTTCTGAAAAAGAAATGAAACAGAAAAAATATTTGTTTTCTTTACTTCCCCCATGTGCTGAAGTGCTTATCTGATCTTCACATTTGATCAGATTTGTATTTATGCAAATGTTTAAAACTTTTTATAAGCAATGAAATCAAAAAGAGAATAATGCAAGGGTATTATTAAAATAGTGAGAAGTGTGATCATAGCTCAACTTATTATATGGGAGCATGAAATTAATTTTGTATAGATAATGGTGTATCAGGTCCGTAAGAACACAGGATGTCTCCATCTAAATAAGCATATTTAGAATCCTCAGTCCCTGCTATGTATACTTTTTCCTTTAGTTTAAATAAAATTGGTAGAAAGTGTTTTTTTAAAGAAAAAATTGAAGAAACTTGTTAATTATTATGGTGCAATTTTAAGACACTTTAAAGAGCATAACTTGAACTTTACATGAATAAGAACCCATTGCTATATAAATGTAAAAGTTGTAGCAATAATAATACCATTAAAAGAACATTTTAAGCTATCTAATGAAATACATTTTTGTTATTACAGTTTGGTGCATTTTCCCAGACGTGATACGGAAGAGCTGCTTATGCTACTGGATTTTATTTTTAATTACCAAAACTCTAGATTGTTGATCTTTTGCTTTAAATGGTTAGAAAAAGTTCCTTTTCTTTATTTTTGTTAATTCCCTTGCATGTATTATAGCTTGAGGAATTTTTCCAGCTTTTATTTTGCAATTTTATTTGGCAAAAATGGGTAACAGTAGAAATAATATAACATGGCATTGGCTCAACAGGTACCAAATCTGACAGCTAACACTGGAGTAATCAATGAGGTAGAGGTTTTACCATTGCACATCTCAACTCATTGTTTTTCCTGTTTAACTCTTTGATTAATGAAGCCAAATTTGGGACTGCATATTAAATAGCTCCATCATGGATTCATAATGTAGGATATAATTACTGTAAATGAATTTGAAGTTCTGTTTACTTTCTATCTACACTACAGATGTATAGAATTTCTTATTTTGTAATGTTCCTGTCACTGGAGATTATTTCCTGGAACCAGTGGCTGGAATAATTGGAGACCCAATGGTTGTATTGGTATTCGCACACAGAAGTGCGCATAATTTAGTCTGCAGTTCCTTTATTGGCATTGGATTTGTGCTTGTAAATGTATGTGTGGGTCTGAGTTGAAGGCACCTGGGCAGTTTGCAGATAAATCGCGGGGGTTTAAATATCAAGGTCAGGCGAAGGTAACACGAAAATGAGAGATTACCAGCTCAAGAACATCTGATCTCCACACACCAGCCAGGGCATGGAGATGGAGATTTTTTTTTTTGGAAAAAAAAATGCACTTTGTTGATCTGTTAACACTCTGTTCAGGGAATATGTTCATGCAAATGCACAGATCTGTGTTAAACTGCTACAAAGAAAAACTGTTTTATGTTCAAGTACGATGTCTGTTGCTCTGTTTAAACAATTAATATGCATCACACTGTAAACTTGCAGATCAAACAAAATGCAAAATGTGCATCTGTAAAACTGGAAACCTGGTGTTAAATGTGAAAGACTCAAAGTATGTGCTGTAATAAAAATTCTATTTTTGCCATCAGTGAGTCTGTTAATCTGCTGGAACAAGGGTGGTTGGAAGTGTTTATTTTCAAAGCCAGCTATTGACCAATCTAAAGGAAGTTTTTTTCTTTTAAAACTTTTTTTGACAATGGTGTAACATGGAGAGGTAGAACGAGACGGTATGACTTTCCCCAACTGGAACGCCCAAAATATTATAGGATGTGCTTGATGTTTTTCACCCTTAAATCCAGGAACTATTTCTGATGTTTAGTCCTTAGCCCTGATTTGCATGTCTGCTCCAAACATGAATAAATGTCAAAGAGACGGTCACATGAGATTATGTAGAGTTGAATTTTTTTCATGCAGAATGAAGTTTCTGGTCAATATTTTAAACACTAGTTTTATAGGTAAGTAATATAGGACAGAAAAAATGAATTGTCAGTCCTATCTATAATACAGTGTGGGCTTTACTAGACTAGCAAATTGAGTTATGGGTTTGGCAAAATTATAATTTAAATATTGTGGTTTGGTACCAGGAACCAAATGACCAGGTGGCTTACTAATGTACTTAAGCAAAGGAAAAATGCAATACTACATGGACAGGGACTTCTTTTGAAAAAATAGTTCATGAAATATTGGCATTGATGACGAGGCCAGAATTTATTGCAAATCCCTAATTGCCCTTGAACTGTTTGTCTTCTGAAATGGCCTACAGAGCCAATCTTGAAGTATCTGTATTTTTGTGGATATAAAGTCCTATTTAGGCCAGATCAGGTAAGAATATCAGATTTCTTTCTTCAAAGGACATCGGTGAACCAGATGGGTTTTCCACAATTGACAGTGGTTACATGATTGACTTTACACCAACTTTTTGGTCTTCCAGATTTTTCAAAAACTTAATTCAAGTTTCACCACCTGCTGTGGTTGGCTTCAAACACAGCCCTGAGAACATTAATCAGGGGTTCTGAATTATTAGTCCAATGATTTTTTTTTTCTTTTACCATGACCCCACCACTTTTTCAGGTAATATATGCAGTTGTGGGAATGTTGCCCTCACTGTGAGAACAAAAGCAGAATACATATAGTGCAGGGAAGTCATAGATGTCATTCCTGCAGTTGAGTCAAACTACGGTGTAGATTTCTGAGTGCAGTGATGATGTAAAGAACTGAGGGTATTAAATGCTTTTAGCACCTTTGATAAACGAGTAACTTCTTTAAGCTTCATTTATTTTGTTACCAAATTTGATGTAAATTTACAGATTTGACATTTCACGCAAATGCCTACTTAATTTCAATTAATATTAAAATCAGTTTCTACTGCCTTGAGCTATTTTTCTGCTTTTATGATTTTGTATGTTTTTAATAGTTTGAATTTCAGTTCCACTCAATGTGATTGGATTCAATGAAAGTGAAGAACTACCGGATTCTCAGATCTAACCTTTGCTAAATGTTTTACAGTGATGTATTTTGGAAGATTTGAAGATACTTTTATTCCCAGTGTTGTTTACAGAATAACATAAATCTGGGAAGAGATGGAGAAAAATTGCAGCTTAATATAAACTCAAGTTGATACTTCAGACAGACCCGGGAGAGCAGGTGATCTTTGAATCAGAAACACTTTGGTCAATAAAATAGCTGGGTTATAATACCAAGCTTGTCAGTTTTTTTTCTGATATAATTGTACCTATGCAATAAAGTACCTTTTTGGGGCTACTTACAATAGACCTGGTATTGGATGCAGGGTTCATAATATGTAGTTGCTATGTGCCAGGTCCTGTTGAAACAGGCAGTTCTTAAACCAATTCAACTTGATGCTGCTTATTCATCATGATTAGTAGTGTACAACTAAGCATGCAATATGGTACTGCCATATTGATAATCCTGTACTACTTAAAGGGAACCTGTCTCTCTTTAAAGGAGTAGTGTGCTCAGTTTACAGCAGCGCCTGGAAGAGCGTCATTTAATGCCCCTTCTGGAAGGAAGGGAATGGGACTAGAGCAGCAGATATGAGAGGTTTGAGGTTTCCATGTCTGATACTTGGAGCCCTTGCTAATGGAGGCTGTAAAAGTTGAATTTCCAGAAGGGGTGAGTTATCCTCCAGGTATATTCTGCAATGCACTGGGAGCAGATGGCAGAATAGATTAATTCCCAGAGTGCAGCCTTGAAGACCTGGCTGTATTGCTGGGGTTTGGGTATTAAACTTGGTGCATATGTCTTTAAATGACATGTACTCACTGCCTCCTGTTCCTCAGTTCACACACCCATATCGCTCCCTGCAGCAATTGAGACATGCCAACATTTCAATCTTCCACCTTACCCTCTTACATCAGCTTTGCTAGTTGGCCACGCCAGCTCTCACCACACACATCTGCCGATGCATTAACCATAACAGTTCACAATGCACTCACTGGCATTCTTTCCTTCTCTCCTTGGTAGAACAATTTGGCACATAACTGGGTGATGAAGGTGCCTCCAATCACTAAGCCCTGTTGAAGAGCTGAGGCACTGCTCGTGGGGCAGGCAATGGCTGAGGTTGTTGCTTCTGGTATTGAGAACATTGAAGATGACTGGAAGTTCATCTTTTTTCCCAATTTCACTTCACCCACATCCTACCTAGTATACTACATAAACAACAGTGATAGTAGATGTCTTATTTTTTCCTAATTCCTCAACTTTTCCCTTCTACAAGGTTTTTTACAATCATTCATTCAAGGACTGTGGGTGCTGCTGTCTATGCCCCCCCTTTTTTTTTTAAGCCTATCCTTAATTTCTCTTGAGCTGCCATCTTAAATTGCTGCAGTCCATTTGGTGTAGGTGCAACAGAATCCTGGAACTCCCTCTCAACAGTGGAGGAAAGGTGAAATAGTTCTAGGTCAAGTAAGTATGTGGCTTGAAGGAGAATTTGCTGATGGTGTTACTTTGCTTCTGCCCAAATATTCAAACCCAAAGCTGTTCAGCTACCTTGGAGCCAATCATGTAACTTTGCAAACAGGAGGCCTTTGTCATTGATAACAGTCCACTAACGATTCAGCTATTTGTTGCCAGCTGAACAATTATTCACGTACCACCCCTATTCAAGGCTCTAGCTCGTCTGTGCAGCAATCCTTGCCTCTCAAAACCAGTTAATCCTTTTTCTTTCAATCTTCCTATTTCAGTCCACAATCAAAAATGTGGAAACAGAAAGATATTTGTATACAATTTCAGTTTTGCTGGGGCTCCTGAGTACCATATTCAGTCAAATGCTCCGCTCCCCTCCCCTCCGAAGGTAAGTTCTTTGTTTCTGTTTGGAGCAAGGCTGTGATGAGGTTAGGAGTTGTGGCCCTGACAGAACCTGAATTAAGCATTAATGAGCAGGTTATTGTGGAATGATGCAATTTGATAGCTCTGTGCCAACTCTTTCCATCGTCTTGCTAGTGATCAGTAGTAGACTGAGGGTGTGGGGAGGCAGGTGGGGTATGGTAATTTGGATGAATTATCCTGCTTATTGAGGACAAGTCTAACCAGGCAATTTCTCTAACATTGGGTAGATGCCAGTGTTGTAGCTGTTCTTCAATAGTTTGGCAAGGGCTAATTCTGGAGCCCAGGTTTTCAGTGTGAATCCTTTGCAGTATCCCTATTGCTGTTAGTATTTCTTCGCATGACATGGAGTGGACCAAGTTGGCTGAAAACTGGTATATGTGATTCTGAGGACTTCAGGAAGATGCTTTTGAAGACCCAAAGATTTGCTACCTGGTCTATGCAACCTCACTGAGAAAAGCAAAGCATTCATTAGATTCTGATTTAAATATAAAGCGTGCAATTTGATCTGGCACCCATAGCTATGAGCTCATGTACTGGCATTGCAGTAATTTAGAATCTGATGTGGAGTTTTGATCAACAGAGTGGGCTAACAGCCAGATCAAGGGTAACATGAGTGACAGTTCCCTGACGTGGCAAGCTTGCAATCTACCTCTGTTTGGGTGAGGATGTTGGCATAGCCTATAGGTAAAGTCTGAGCATATTGAGGTACGTGGTTCACTAGCAGACATGCCACACAGCCTCTTGTCACTGTCAAGAAACATGCAAGATTCTGATTTCAGTCTGGCACAAGATTTCATAAAGAGCTTGGAGCTCATCAGTGTAGCATGCAGGTTGTAGCCAACTCCATAGTAGAAACTGTGGATCCAGCCACACTGAAAGGTAGGGTGCCTTCTATCAGCAAGAAAACATCTAACTTCTGAATACTACAGTGGAAACTCAAACTGAGATTGAGATCTGTGCTGATAACCATACAGGCTCCAATTACTGGTATCCTTGTTGTGCATAACTGTGCACAAAACAGCATGCAGGCTCTCACAGAAGGTCCAACAATCTGTGTAGCAGCAGCACACTAGATTGTTGAGGCATTAACTCAGTGGGAGCAGCCTTTGGTCCTTGGATGTTGGCATTTTTGCTGCTGCTGGTGCTACTCCACCAGTATACTTATTGATCCCTATTAGATGGCAGGTTTCTGGACTATTCACTTATGATGAGATGAAGCAATCTAAGGGTGAGCCCTTAAGAACTATTAGATGGTCAAGGAAGCTCAATGGCTTTGTATCAGCCATGTTATAGTCACTGGTGGTGTACCTCGTAGGAGTACTACACAAGGGAAGGACAAGATAGGCCTACTTCCACACACTAGAGATTCTGATTCAAAGGGAATACAAAAGATTGAATTGTTCTGTTCTGTGTGAATTATTGGAAGTGTTGTTAGATAAAGTTATTATTGTATGGTCTTTTACCAGTGATTTTTTTTTTTCCCAGGATTTGGGGCAAGAGGACACTATGATGATTATGTAACAAATGGATTAAAAAGTGGGAAATTATGGAACAGTGGGAATGAAAGCTCAGACAAACATGTAGGAGCAGGAGTAGGCCATTCAGCTCCTTGAGCCTGTTCCACCATTCAATGAGGTCATGGTTAATTGGTGGCCTAATCCATGTACCTGCCTTTGGCTCATATCCTTTAATACCATTGCTCAATAAAACATTACCTGTCTCACATTTGAAATTAACAAC